TTCTTGTAATTTTCCTCCTGTATTTTCTTAATGGACCACTAGACAAGGTATGAATTTAAGCGAGCTGATACATGTTTCTAGACCGGAATTTCACGTAAAACACGATTCGTGCAACGAAAATTACTGAAACCAACTCCTAACGAATATACTAACGTTTTTATTTCACATTGGTTACGAGGAATTTGCACTGCCCGCTCACAAGAAACTGAAAGCTCTACTCGAGTCAAATCGCGCACTACAACGGTTTCAGTAAGCTTCTCAATCGAGCAATGTTCATTTCCCGTCATATGTTGGTCAAATCACAAGAAATTTGCTATAGCTGAGCCAAACCGTCAAGATTGAGGTTTCCAGATTTTTATATCGCAGAGACTATCGTGATAAACGTTGAGCGCGCGATGTGAATCACGTAGAGCATTGCGTTTTCATGAGCGGGTGGTTTGAATTCGTGCATGAAGAATCATTAAATATCCTCGTAAGGAGTTGATTCTTTGTGTCAAAAAAGACGCTTTTGTGGTATAAATTTTTTTCCAAAAACGCTTTCCCTGGGCGCCACGACTCCCCAAAATTGGAGGAAAAAAATTGTCTTTTTAACACTGCGGCAATGTTTATCAATTACCAATATTATTGAAAATTTTACTGGGAGTAATTTTAGCGTTCTATTCATTTTTGACCCCCAAAAAAGGTAAAACTAATTCTGAGGGGGGTTTAGGGGGGTACCGAACCTAAAAGTGGCTAAAATGAATGTTTATAGCGACAAAAATTGATTTTTGACGGCACCTCAAGATTCAGCGTTGAAAAATATTGAGAAAATGTCTCCTGCGTTTTTTCACTTTAACTCATCGTTTTCGAGATAATAGAGAATAGGGACTAATAGAGAATTATATAGGAGCTGATAATAGGAGGATAATGGGGCCCCCACGGAATGCGTTTTTCGAAAAAAATGTATATCACAAAAACGTATTCTTTTGACCCAAAGAATCGACTCCTTCAATATTCCTACTTAATCCTGGGACACCCTGTAGACCCTAGAAGTATTCCAAAAAGTTCTCAACTTTTTCAGGATGGCTGCCCTCCCAATCACTTTAATATTCCTTCTACTGATTCAAAGTATCCCAGCGTTGGAGATCGAGGATGTACGACACGACTCTCTCTCCTTTATATTTGCCATGTGCAATTACACGGTCAAATTGACTCAGCGACGACTACTTTACATAGTGGTACTCCAGGAACCAGGGTTTCCAGTGCCCCGGCTGATTCAAGACTTGCACGATCATTACATTCAGACCACCTTGATTGCAAGTCCTCGCCAACTGATGACTTTCGTCCGTTCTCCCGGCCCGAATAATATCATTATTCTCTTAAATTCGCTGAATGATATACTGAGCTTGATTCTAGACACTGCGACGGGCGCCGATGGAAAATCAAATAGAGGCGAGGTAAAGTTAATTCAAAACAACGCAACTAACATCACCTTTCCGTGCAGTAAGGAGGCTGATCCATCACTTACCAACTACTGTATCCGCACGAACGACCTGCCAGATGCTGGAGTTGATAGGATTTGCGATGTTCAATTGAATATTAGTTCGGCCGAACTAGAAAACAACGGTGAACTGACAAATGAAGTACATGAACTTACGAAGGGTCTGTACGTGCATGATATTTGGAACTCAAGAAACCGCCTCATTTTTGTGATTTGTGGCGCACGTGGGAGCCGAGACAGCTATGGCAAGGCCATTTTAGATACCATTGCTCCATCTGAAGAGAGCAAATGGGAGCTCAATAAGTATTCAGCCGCCTCACGCGAATTGATGTTCGTGTTTAGATTCATATGGCGGATGTTCAGCGGCTACAAATCTGTGATATGCCACGAGGATTCTTGTTTTAAATACGATCCTTTCGTTCAAAGACTTTTGAGGTTTTTCAGTCATAACAAGGAGAATTTCCTTCAATTTCCAATAAAAAATATGCACCAAATGACGGTCATATGTCCCGCGTCAACCGAGAAGGATTATCATTTTGGACTTGACCTCATTTTGCAGGAACAAAAGATGGATGATCTGATGGGTGAAATCATGTATGATCTTTCAGTGGATCTTAACTGCACGTTCGCAACATACGCTCGTGGATTCCTTTCGGACACGACCTTTGGCGAGCTCGACATGGAGCAGGGCCATAAAATTGGCGCAAAGTTGTACATCCTTGGAGAAAGCAAGTTTTTGAGACCGGAGGACTTTTCAAAATTCGATCAAACAACGAGCGTTGAGTCTTACGCGGTGTCAGTCATAACACCACGAAGTCCTTTCATCCCCCAAAGCGCAGTTGCCTTCAAATGTTACTCTTTGGTGGTATGGATTTTCATATTCATCACTATCATCCTATTCCTAATGATGCAAGCATTTCTTCAACACGTTTTCTACAGAACGCTTCAATACATCCGTGGAGGAGAAGACGTCAACCAAGACGAAGTGTCAGTTTTTTTGACCATCTACGCGTATTTCATCTGTGGCCAGCCACCAAGGCTGATTCTTGGTCATCTCTACACGAGCCGAATCGTGTTCGTCATCGTCATCTTTGCATCGATGATCCTCTCAGGCCTCTTCCAGAACGGGATGGTGACTTTGCTGAGCGCTCGGGTACGCTTCCCAGACATAGATACTCTCGAGGAACTGGCGCAGTCGGATCTTCGCATCCAAGTTCAAGGAATAGAATCTACCTCATTATTCTTCGAAGAACAACCGCTATTCAAAGGCCTGAAGGATAAACTTACGGACTTCTTCAGTTTTCAAATGAGGGGTGTATTATCTTCTCTCGTAGGATCCAATGACACTACTATACTCTACTCTTACATATGGACTGGCGGTGCTCCCTCTAATATTTCTGCGGTTGAAATGAATATTGTTCATAGCTACGATCGAGTTTTTGATAAACTACGACGAAGCCTCCAATCCGATGCGTTCCTAGTCAACTCACCGCTACTAGTGCTCCGCGGAAATTACTTTCTTTTCGAACACTGGTTATTTCGTGACAGAAAGCTGGCATACCACAAAGTCGGAGAAAACGTGATGACATACCCTTACGCGTATAAGATTTTAAAGAATACGTTTCTCTTCGAGGCGTTTAATGAAAGACTCACACGTCTGGTAGAGAATGGGCTTCTGAGAAAGTACTTGCCGTACTTACTAGGGCAGGAAAGCACTGGGGTCTCAACAGAGGAAAATGTCGCAAAGCCTCGAGTATTTGACATGAACGATTTGCAAATTGCCTTCTTATTCCTCTCTGTAGGATTATTACTAAGCTGTATTGCATTCGTGGTTGAACTTTTGATTCAGCCTTGATTAGTCCATGTGCACAAGGTTCATCTTTTGGACATGAAATGTCTCTCTTAATCACATCACGAATAATTACTTTACAGCTCGACTTCCTTCATCAATATAGTTCCGCTTTAATTCAAGCTAAAAGCAGCCAAGTAATTAAAGAATACGAGCGCGCCACGGGACCAGATAAAGGGGCCAGTGGGTATGGGGGGATTCGCGCTAAGGGGACTGAAGCCTCCGCGATAAATTACGAAGTCGAAAAAATTAAATAATTATAATTAATGATTAAATTTAAGAAATTATTAAACATTTGAAAATTATTAAATGTTTTTACCTTTTGGCAATCAATAGAGTAAACAACAAATACTAAAAAATGGTCATCTGCCCGGAATATTTGAGGCGGTAAACCGTTAGTGAATCGGGGTGGTAAAATCATAAATCCGGCTTTAGATGGCCACGCAAGTAAAGAATGAAACATTGCTTGTTGATTCTGTTTTAGTCTACGTGTGCTTATTTTTTGGGCTCTTTGTTAAAATCTAATTAAGTGATTAGATTAAATTGTGAATTAATCGATAGATCTACGCGGTAATGACGGTAACAATCCCACAATCAGAGGTAATATTGATATTTAATGATAATTGTTATTTCATCCGATCAACACGATTAAATATTTAAAGATGTAAATTTAAATGTGCGATGCCGTATTTATAGTTTTATGTGAATGAATAATAAAACAGCTCATAGAGAATTAAAGGAGGCTTGAAATATGTGTCAGACATTCGTCAATTTTTATACGAGTTGACAAACGAGAGTAGATTCTATATCTATTGTGCAAATGCAATTAATGGATTTCGCACAATCGTATTCCTTCTAGCCGCTCTTGCCTTTTCGTCTTAGAATATACTTTAGCTTATGACTTACTAATTGTAAGTGAATCATCCTCCACACAAATTTCACATTTCCTATCCTACTATACCTGAAAAATTATTTTCGTCACATTGTGTCTATCTAGACGACTGAAAAAAATATAAGCTCTTGCTGTTTCTCATACTTTCTTTTCGTTTCATCTGTAAATATTTTGTTTTAATTAATCATACGTGATCGTTCATCTGAGTAAGTGTGATTACAAGTATCATTCTTAGTTGTGCAAAATCATTTAGAAATATGTAGAACTATTCTTTCACGATTTCCCCTCTGTGAACTTTGTGTGTCTGTAAATTAACCTACTCTTCTCATCATACTTAACTGGACCTCCGACTGTATTCCAAATTTTCTTTTTGTGACTTTTAATATAAACGATCCTAAAAAATACGTACAATTATCTGATTAAAATTCATAAGTTTTCTAACTTTCTATCACTTGCTTGTCCTAAAAAAATGGAGTTATAATATATAGGGGCTGAAAGTTTTTTCCGCGGAACTTTGAAGTCTTGTTAGGAGAAAAAGGTTCTTTCCTCCACATGAGTTCATCAGAAGATGAGTCAACGTTTTGTCCTGATAAATGCACCCCTGACTATTACTGGGCAAAACTCAGAGTATCCAAATAAGAGTGCATGAATAGAATATAAATCCAATGGAGATCATAATCCAAACATTGTTTCAGTCGAGGCATCATAAATTCTCATGGAACTCGCAGGTAAAGTTTAATAGCCTGCGTTTGTAAAAGAAGCAAATAATGAAAATATACCAGCAGTAAGTTTCAACAGTCGAGCGTGCTGCCTGAAGTTTTTAGAGAAATCTGTCACCGAAAACAGCTCCAAAGTCTCAATTTCATCGAGGAGAAAATTTTCTGCTCCAAGTTTCTGAGCAATCTCCAATGCCTTCTTGATTTGCGCTCCTCTGTGGATAACTTCCTGAAGTTCACTTCCCCTGTTCAAAATTTTACAAACGCTTAATAAGTTCGATTCAAGCACCAATCACACCAGTTACTGACGAAGGATACTTCAAATATTTTTTTAAAAAAATAAATATAAAACAAGCGAAAAATTCTTATTTTTTAATTACGGCGAGGAGGAGCGATTTTTATAATTGCAATTTCGGTTCGAACGTATATTTATATGAAATGGAGCCATATGAAAATAAATTACAGGAAATGAAGCTTGCTGTCTTCATTAGTTTGCAGGCTTCTTTTTTGTTTTATTCATAATTACATTCTCATGGGATTTGGACGTCCATGTTATTTAATTTTGTCCATTCTATTTACAGTGAGGATTTAAAACAACAAGCAATTGTATACCTGAGAGTTCATACACACTGCTGATAAATATTGGCATATTTTAAGAAAACCACAGTAAAATAATTATCCCAATAATTAAATGGACTTCTTTCACACATACGAGCCGCGTAACCCTTCCTCCCTCCTTTTTATTACTTTTTGCAGTCCCTGTTAAGATCTTGCCAAAAACTTCCAATGTCGGGTAGTTTGTAACAGTCTGAGCACAGCGTTTAAAACAGTCCGAGTTCCTTCATTTCGGTTCAATGTACTTAAAATATTGCCACCGAGTAGGAACAGTGGTATCGAGAGAGTCTTGAAGGCGCTTTATTCTATTTGAATCGCTAATAAACGAAACGTATATTTGGAATCGAAATCTTATCTACGTAAAAAAGAGGAGGAAGAATGAAACAAATTTTAAGTTTAATATGTTTCTTAAATTAAATGTGAACTCAACTGAGGGTTCCTCTAATTTTGGAGTATAATTCAGTATCTATCAGAATATTTTGCACAAATCTTGGATCTTTAGTTGTAATTGGTCATCGTGTGGTTGGCAAAATCTCAACTGTCATAGTCAATTTCTTAGTTTCTTGAGAGAACAGAGCGACGTTATTTTGATGAAAAAATTTGGGTACAAACCTGAGGTGAGTCTCAAAATTTGGCTTTATCCACAAAGGGGTGATTCCAGTTTTTTGCTGCAGCTCCAACACCAAATTGATGTTCTCGTCCAAACCTCGGTGAAAATCCTCCAGAGACTCGCCAAATGGTGCGAAATCCGAGTCTGCAGCGGTGTAGTGTTTGATCCCTTTGAATAATCAAACATCTTGTTTATTGCACCACGAATAAAAATTGAGATTAGACAGAATTTTACACACATTATGAAGTCTTTGTTACAAACTCTTCTATGGAGCTTAGACTACTGACTTTACACCTATTAGTGGACTTTCTCTCCTCTGAATCTCATTACTTTTCTTGGGTCCCACTTTTGATGTTCAGATTTGCGGTGGATCGAATATTGGAGATTATTTACAGTAAAGATGAATTTTTTATTCTTCATTTGTTAGGAAAAATATAGCATTTTCGCTGAAAATTTGTGAAGCACATTTTGCGCGGAAATCATAGATCGACGATATTGAGGAGCTGCACGATCCACTAAAATACTAAATAATTGTTTTTTAATCAGTTTTTCAAGAGGATCCCACTTTTAAAAATGTCATTTTTCACATGATTTTCCTTACTTTTTTCCAAGGTTGAAACAAAACAGTTCAAGGTGACGTACCTAACTTCTGTCCCAGTTCAAACACACATCTGATCCTCCGTTTGTAACCATCCAAGGAATTTTGAGTTGAGTCCTCGAAAATTCTTCTAGCCCGCGGCCCTAGAAAAATGTTAAAAGATCATGACTGAAAATTCATACAAATAACGCTATCACATATCACACATCTCCTGTGTTTGTTCACTGAAAATGGGACTTCAGTGCGGAAAAAGTCAACACTTTGTGATTCATATCACTGCATAAAGGAGTATTTCAGGAACAATTTGTTGGGAAAAGTCGAAAAGTCAAAACAACCCATAGCTAAAACAGATTGAAGTTTGTAGCTGAAAATCGTAATTTGAAAAGAGAGTAATGAAACAATTTAATGTGTCATTTTGAGGGCTCAAAATTGTCCAATTATTTGCAGTTCCTCGCCCCCTATAATATCATGCAAATCAACGTAACCGGGTTTTTTTTTTTTTTTTTTTTTTTTTTTTTTTTTTTTTTTTTTTTTTTTTTTTTTTTTTTTAATTAGACACTATAGAGTTAATTCTATGCAATGCAGGTTCCGAGCTTTTTACTTATATTGAAAAAAAAAAACAGCTTTTGCTCAAAATTCGACTTGTGCGCTGAAGACCCTTAAACGATCATTATTGAAACATTACAAAACCATATCAAGGAGACCTTGTTCACTTATTAGATATACTTTCATTAATAAATCAGGATGAATTGCATTTGGTCAAACAAATAGGGGAATGGAAAATTATTACAACAGCCTTATCATTATTAGCCGTGTACATCCACCGAGATTTACCTCGAGAATGGTACTCGTTGATGACGTGATAGAATGAAATAGCCGGGCGAATCCATTCTTCTAGAGATCGGCCATGGACTTTCTCACTAGCATTGTAGTATTTAAAATTTGTCGATTGATCCACATCCAATTCTGGTCGGTACTCCGATCGGCTTACATCTGTTGGAACATTATAGATAAGATCATATGAATGATGGAACTAAATCGAATCTATAAAGACGTGAAAGAATTTGCAGGTATCAAAAAATGTTGTAATACTGGTACCACGGTTAGTGAAAATCTTGAGTATTACTTTGTAGTAGCATATTTCGTCGCTCCTCTGACATATGGTCGTATCTGAAGTTTCGCGTGAACCCTTTTTACATGTAAATTCATGCATCTCGGCTCTCGCGAATAGAGATCCGCTCTTCCGTCAAAGGAGTGACATTAAACCAAAATCAGGATGAAAAGTGGCGCATGAGGAGCGACTGCACCAGGCACTAACACCTGACGGGCGCTAAAATGAAAGGGAAGACAAAATTGAAGAGAGTGGCTGATACCAGGTTGCCGAAGAAGGTGTTGGAGTGGGTCCCCCCAGGAAGGCGACGGAGAGGGCGTCCGGCCAAACGGTGGGTAGAAGGCATCCGTAAAGAGATTGAGAGACGCCAGCTTCCGAAGGATCTCTACCATGACAGATTCCTGTGGCGAATAGGTGACGCAAAGCGCCCTAGCGCGCCGTAAAAGCGGCTTATACATACATACAAAATATGAGGGGAAATAATTGGCGCCTGCAAACCTAAGTGGATACTTCAAGCATTGTGCAATGCGTGAAGTATCCACTTAGGTTTGTAGGCGCCAGTGAGCCTCTCGCGCTGGCAGCACGCCACTCCGCTCTGTTAGGCTTTAATATTTATACTCGCATAGTCAGTGTTTTTTAACTCATGGTTTTGAAATGTTGGCATCTCTGCATTGATTATTCTCATTTAAATTGATGAAAAAGTAAATATGTATCAATTTATCAAAGGAAAATAATAATATAATGTGTGTTTTTTTTAAATATTGGTGGTTTTGTGTCAAATTGAATGATTTCCAGAGCACTTTAATTTTTTCTTTTACATTGAATCACTTACATCACATACAGTGCCTCACAGTGGACCGAGTCAATGGGAGAGGTCGGACAAAATTTAGACCCTTTAAAAGCTTTTAACTCCGTTCATACAAAACTTTGAGGTTTTAGAAGTGGTTCCATTGGTTTCCTCGTGAATTTTCCTGGTATACCTACCTAAGCACCTCTTGAACATTAAAATGTGACGAAATATACACATCAAAATTTACAGTTTTAGTTAAAAATATACTGGAAAAAAAACACATTGGATCTAGAGTCCAGACTCTTGAAAACATTGACAAGAAAAAATACTTTTGATTCGATCGGATTTTTGCTTGAAACAAAACGAAATCCACTTAAATTAAGAGGCTTGGTTCTTTATTTAAGCTAGATTCTGATTCAATCAAGAGTCCTTTTTCTTGTCGATGTTTTTAAGAGTCTGGACTCTAGATCCAATGTGTTTTTTTTCCCAGTGTATCAGTGGAAAAAACAAGGAAGAAACAACAGGAAACAAGGCTAAAATTTAAAAATACACAATTAATAAAACCCGCGACGTTCCGACTCAAAACTGAGTCATTTTCAGTCGGATATAATAAAAATAAAAAAAAAAAAGATGGAAAACCTGAGCCCTACATGGCGGTGGCCGGGATCTGAGAAAAAAAGGAAATTGATAACAGACATTGATTTCTGTTGAAAATATCATGTACGACCTCTCTGATTGAATTGATCCACTGTGCGACAGAACAGCTGTAGGGACCAGACTCACCGGGGAGGAACTCCTGAAATTCGAAAGAAGTGCCGCTACTTCTCGCTGGAGTGATCTCGCGCACTGCCGCGGCAGGTTTCTGCCGCTTGGCCGCATTGTTCACGCTCGAGTAAGCTGCCATCGTCCTGCAAAAAACGCCTCCACATATGAGTGTATTCTCTCACTAAGAGAGGATGTTTTAGGTTATTCACGATGTTCCTAATCGTACTGATTTACGAATATGACCTGAATTCTCAGGCGACCTCACCTTACCTAGGTAAGACAAGGTAACTTTTGAAACAAATGCGACCTACTTTAATGCTGCCGTGCTATGGAAGAACGCCGTATTAGCTTTCAGACATTGTCAAGTTTCATCCAATAAGAACCGAATTTACTGGGAAAATTGTGGATATTAATTTCCAAAATTTTCAGAAAATTTTCTTTGCAATTTAATGTAAAATATCTGAAAATTGAAAGGAAAAATATGCATGAATGCTAAGAAGTGGCCCGAACTGTACGTAACAAGGTGAAGGGTCCACACCATTTCGCGGGGAAAACAAAGCCAAGAAGTTCCAAAAATTATAATTAGCGTCAAAATTAAATTTTTTGAACTCTAATGCGTACCAGTGCGAAACTGTGGGAGGAAAATGTTCACAGGAATGGTTTCACTGTCGATATATTTAATGATCGCCATAAAAACTTCATTAATTGTCATCCAAACACTTTTGACCTAAACCAATAAAAACTATTCGAAAATTTTACTCATTCATGTCAAAAATTCAAAGTTATGAAAACAGATTTTTCAGGTGGAATTTGCATTATACTTTAAGGGCCTCTAAATTGAGTTTGCTAGAGTAATGAAACTTCAAACATCTTAATATCAGTTCAATCTTAATGCGACCTCATACCTTGTGCTTGTCCGGTCCAGATGTCACTCGGTGCTTAACCCGAGGAGGAGAAATATGATTTGAGGAGGTTGGAGGACAAGGCGCATAAGTGCAGTTTCTGCTAAATCGAGAAATACGTGTTTGAAGTTTCGAAATCACATGGATTCTTATGGCGGAAAAAAAATTCAATAGAACTGACTTTTTGATGCTTAAAAATTGGAATTTAGGAGCGAATTTTTCACAGAATATGCATTATGTTTTACTTGAAATTATTAATATCTTAATTTAATCGAAAACTGCACTTATGCGCCTTGTCCTCCAATCTCTCACATGCACTCCCACGGTAGATGACATTAATGACAGTGGCGTGGCGTGCTTTACGATATATCGATTGATCGGCCATTTAAACCTATGTAAAAGTATCGATTTACAGGGTGTTCGCAGCGAACATCTATATAATCGATTATTTACCACAGCTTCAAATGGGGAAATATCGACGGATCGCAAAGCACGCCACGCTACTGAATGACCGCGATTTTCAGAGGCTAATATCATGATTGATATCGGACGTGCAAAAACTCGATGTGTGGGCAGGTCTGTGGTGATTTTTGCCTGATTTTCACCTTTTTAATAGCTGTTAATATGGTTGAGAATGGGCACTTAAATGACCAGGAACATTCTGCTTACATTTGTTTCCACCCCCGGCCTTTTGATAACTATTTTTTGGTGTAGTTCTCATCGTACCTGTACCTAACGGGCGTCTAGACAAGGTATGAATTAAAGATCAGCGCTACGTATTTGCTCCTCAAAATTTCAAAAGGAAAACGAAACACACAACGTATAGTCTTAAAATCAACCCCTAGCTGAACAATATTTAAGCGTTTTCTATTAACATTGGTTAAGTGGCAAAAATAAAAAATACATCATTTGTATAATGGAACTTCCATTCGATCTGTGCTTCAATGACTTGTTGATCTCGTTCAGGAGTTGATTTCAAAACTTCCCGCTGTATGAATTGTTTTCTGTGTATTTTCAGGAGAAAATATTTGACGTTTCCTTCTACTTCAGACCCCGTCTAGTGGCGTCCCTTTTTTAAGTTTCTATCAACAAAATACCATCTAAAACGTGCGAAATTGCGACAAGTTAGAGTATTTCGACTCACTACCTCGTCATTGTTATTATGTTAAATTATTAATATTATACTTTATAAAATATTGATTTCTCAATGTATCTGTATAAAGGTGAAATTTTCAATAAAAGTGGACGTAAAAAAAAAACACAAAAAACGTACGACGTAAGCGATTTTCTCCCTATACATTGCTTTATCGTTACTAAAATTCGCGGAAAAAAATTGAATATCGATTTAGCATTTATTGTATTGTTAAAAAACGTGCGGCAAATATCAAATACTGATTTTACAACCCAAAAAATGCTAACTCAACATTGATTTCGTTCATGTAACCAAGGGCGTAGTTAACGTGGCATTTTTTTTATTGTAAAATCAGCATTTATACTTGTCGCACATTTTTTTAACATTATAAATGCTGAAGCAAAATTCAATTTCTTTCCATATTGTTGAATTTCTTACCTGATAATCCGAGATTAGCTTCCGGACACTCTCTCAAAACGGTCACGCGGAGTCACCGAATTCACGAAACAGAGTCAAACAGGAGGAATCTCTCAGATGCTCTTTTATAACCTCCGGACCAAGGGCGGAACATGGCACACAAGTTGAAACCTAAAACTGTGCGTAAAGCGGGGAAGAATGGGTGCAAGCAAGTATGACTGCGAGGAATAAGTCGACATGAAAGCGGAATAGACCTGAGATAAAGTTTCTCGTTACTATTGAGTACCTCCACCGGGACCAAGGATGCATAGTCGTGGCTAGTTCACATAGACCTTGCTCGGGGTTATCAGATCGGAAAACCATATTTTTTCTCCCGTTTTCCTCCTGAAAGTATGCGATATATCGATTGATCTACTATTTAAACCCATGGATAAGGATCGATAAACAGGATGTTCGCAACGAACACCTCGACTATCGATTCTTTACCGTAGCTTCAAATGAGGAATTGTAGATACTCGATCATTCACGCCTCGCTTTAGAGAATACGCCACTTATTATGGATGAGAGTAAGCTACGTATGATGGATCCAAAAATATGGTTCTTACCGGAAGATGGGAATGACAACCCTAATTTCGGTACTTCAATTTACTTAACTGAATTCTAGCTTCAATTATTGTCATCATACCAACCAAACGAGCCATCCGTTAAAAAATTCTTGGAAAAGATCATACGCTTAGTTGCTTGCTTAGGTATTGCATATTATGTAGTTGCCTGCTTATGTATTGTTTGCTTTGTATCTGTGCATGGAAAATTTGGCTCGTATATCGAGATGAACTCTCGAGGCTTTTTTCAGCTTGGTAGTTTCTTTCAGATAAAACCAGTGGCACTATCGGTGTTTTTGTGGAATTTTAAAAATACAAATGTACTTAAATCGTAAATTTGTGACGCATTCTGGAGCTCCATCGTTTACGTTTCTATCCATGCGTTCGAGTCTCTGGAAAAGAGGATTTTGGGGAGTCTTTTCGATCGCGTTACCAAGGAGAGCGGTAAATCTCGAAATTAAATTTTCAGAATCTATGCCAAGAAGTATCGGAGCGGAAAACTTTACTAAGTAGGAGAATCTTCATCCATGCTTGGTAAAACTGTCAACAATCATCCTGATCGTCTTGAGCGGTGACTTTATCGGAGACTTGATCGAACCTGACTCACCAAGATCGACTGGGCAGGAACCGAAATAGCATTGTCGGCCACAGCCGCCATCTTGGATTTTCGAATTTTGAAAATTTTACTATAAATTCGAGTTTCCCGTGTCAAAATATCTTCTGGTACCAAGATTCACTAAGATCGATCATACTGGAGCCGAAAATATCGGCATAGAATATTTTTCCTGTACATAGATTTGTTTGACACAATATATAATTTCGGCTAGCACATTGACTCAAACGGGACGAAGTGTAATCTTCCCTTTATCTTGTTAACACTCGACTTTTCTAAAGCCACAGAGGTTCAAAATCGGTCCATCAGGGAAGAAACGCCGATGATTTTTGCAAAACTTGCTGCACTGGAAAGTTTGGAAATTGCATATAATCTGTAGCTCTGTTTGGTATAGAAACACGTCCAAATGTATTGACGTGCTGTGAGAGAGCGACAACTACATTTCGTAATTAGACTACTTTTAACAGGTCATTTAAAAACCAACATATGTTTCATTTTTTTCCCAAGCTAAATGATCGCTTCTATGCATTAGTTAGAAATAATACATCAATATTGCAAAATGAAGTTCATATGTCCGCCACGGGTGTAAAATGTATACTCGCTTAAATGAAGGCGTTTTATATGGAAGAGATGAGCAAATACCGCAGATTTATAAATGGTTCCCATTAAAGTTAGCGGCTCTTCCACAGCAGGAGAGAATAGGTAACTCTTCGCTGTAAATTGCATACGCTTCTAAATTAAGGCGTTTCATACTGCCTTACATGATCTTACCGTGGCGTTTTCGCTTTAGGCAATATAAAAATCAGGTGTTTATTTGATCCCCAAAGAAGAACTTGAATGAACGGGTCTTAATTTTAAGGGTCGCACCGTCATGCCCAGATTTACTCAATTGCCACCCCTTGGCCGTCAAGATTGTGCTGCCCCCACGACTTGTCCCGACTTGACCCGACTTGACCCTTTCGGCAGCGGGGTGTTTGCGACAGCGCCCTAATTCCGTTTTTCTCTTCGTCCATTTTTTGCCGCCCTATTCCATGACCGAGACTGCTTGTGTATGAATTCTAGCCATGAGGGTCGCAATAGACTAAAATTGAATTGATATCCAATTTTACTTGCTTTGATTATTTTATGAAACAAGGGTAATGAGTGATACTTTTCCAATTCAGTTTTGATGTAAGTGATCTTGTTTTTCCTTTGACTGGTCCAATTTGAGGTATGTGTTAAAAGCAGTGGTCTGGAATACATTGCGATGTATTGATTGATCTGTCATTTTAACCTATGATTAGGATCGATTAACAGACCACCTTAACCGATTCTTCACTACGGCTTCAAATGGGGAAATATCGATAATTGATCAATCACGCCTCGCCACTGGTGAAAGCCTCATGGCTACCATTAGTAAGATAGGGTGGAGTGTAATTATGTATTTACGGTGATTTTACACCTTACTTTGGGCTGAACCAGTCGTTTAATATGGCGTGTCGATGGTGAAACTGCAAGACTGTGTGTCTCGGTTTGCGACACTGCAAAATTTCTGTAATAATTCGTTTCTTTTAATGAAAAAAAAAAAAACCATCGTCCATCAACCGTCATCTCTTGAATTCTTTTCTTATCTTTCTTCTATATGCGACAAATTTTCTGTAAACTTTTCGAACAATATTGTTAGTTTATATTAAACTTTGATAAAATCTATTCGGAGTGAAGATTTTGAAACCCGTCGTTGCAGTTTCACTGTCGATACACGCCCTTCAGGAAGACATCTTTGCCCAAAGTGCAAAACCATGATCTCACTCAGTCTATTCTTACCAAAAGAATTGCCCTAACTTTATACACAGTTTCCCTCACCAAATGACAATCACACATTTTCAGAAAAAATGGTCAATTTTCATGCGTAATGAAGGTAGAGCTTCTTTTTTTTTTTTTTTTAAAAAAAAAAACTTTTATTTGAAACCTATTCATAAATGAGCATATGAGCAATAGCATGAGATATTCACTCTGACTGATTGAAGGATGAGTGAGTATGCCCTGGTGGCCTTGTAACAGAACTTTTTAACGGAGAAAATGTTGAAAAATTCTAGAGGAGCTCACAACGTTCTTGTTTTGGACGGCAGAGAATCCGAATTATCTAATTGAAGTATCTTACATACTATTCCAACATTATGTTGTGACACTTTTGTTCAAATATTAGTAAGTATTAGAACCATTGTTTTTGCTTGAAATACGATGAGAACATTACGGTAAGGTCTACTTAATCGAGGTGCGTTCTTTAAAAAAATCTATCCCTTCATTTCTTACCTATGCAAATTGAAAAATGTTTCTGAAAATGTGTGATGGTTATTTGTTGAAGAAAATGGTTTCATTCTCATGGAGGATGAAAAAAAAGAAATTTGTACACCCTATTTGAGGAATTATTTGTGAGAATTGTCTTAATACCCCTCCTCGTTCGTGATGAGAAAAATATTCGGGAGAGCGTAATTCTTCGTGATTTTAGAGAATGGTTTACGAGTAGACCCCTCCAACGGGGCATTTTTCATTGAAGATGGTCTCTTTCCAATCACTCAGAGTAATCCGAGGAAATTACTGACCGAAAATGTTGGGGGCTGCGCACCATCTCTTATTACACTCCCAAGGGCATAAATTGGGCGGGCGCAACAACAAAAAATAAAACAGACACTTTATTTCACCACACACCAACTTGACATAAATAGGTTTCTTATACAATGGTAGAAAGTAGAATACTTATTTAACATCTATGAATAAAGAGAGCTTTTTATAGCATCAGTAACAGAGAACTGACTTTTACGTTCAACACTGGCTTCGGGAACGACTCGATACGTGTTTCGACACATCAGACGGATGATAAATGGCTTGATCAAATCGGGAGCATCGCAAATACATAACCACATCGATAAAATAGCACATGCCACGTTCACACAGTCGAGCGGCGCCTTCAATTGAATCGGATGCAATAGTGGTATCACAGGAAGGCAACCCGGTGGAATAGTTTATTCTTGGCTCGAGTATCGATTCAACGTTAATGATCAAATATTCTCTAGTTACCCTCTTTTGGGCTGACACTGTTGGTCATGTAAAAAGCCACAATGCAAGAAAAGTACAAACTTTTAAAATCCAGACTGCATTGCGATTTCACAAACTCTTTCAACGCGTAAAAGAGTTGAATTCGCAAAAGGAGGTACATCTTGTCCCCGATTGAAAAACGACATTTTGTTAATGTTAATTCACACCATGAACTGTCTCTGAGAAAGGGAATCTTTCCCGAAGCGTGAATCTTCAGCATGTTGAAAGATTTTTACCTAGTAGTGTAAGTCAGTTTCTTTAGTTTCTACAAAGTCAGGATGGGTGGGACCAAATATAGTTAACAAAAGGCAACAGATACAATAAAATAAACATCGATTTACAAAAATAATAACAAACAAAATTAGTTCAGAAGAACCGTTTAACAAATCGGGGTTGGATATCACCCTATATTATGCGCGAAGACAATTCTTTTATTATTTTGTTAAAGAAAACATTTGAAGGAGAAAGAGAGGAATCATAATTAGTGAAAAGGAAATGGGAAAGTAGTAGGATCAGAATCACACAGTTAATATTCGAAGTAAACTGGGGAACGTGTAGAGGCATGATTAACAAAGGAACCTACTATGTAGAAAATTGCTTAGGAAGGTATAAAATAGAGGGATCAGTTTTAGAAAAATAGAATGGAAGAGTCAGGTGAAAAGGGGGAAAGACACCATAGTTGGACGTATCTCTGCCAAACGAAAATATGTGCATTAAACCGTGAGCTCTATTATGCATATACTTATGGGTCTCAGAGCTCATGTCTTAATGAACATAGTCCTGTTTGGCAGAAATACATCCAGTCGAGAGTAAGGGGACTTACAGAGTAATAAAAGAAAAGAGATAACAGTTTCGACAAAATTGGTCAGTTAAAATCCCTGCAAATCCTGGGGGGGGGGGGGGTNTTCAGAAGAACCGTTTAACAAATCGGGGTTGGATATCACCCTATATTATGCGCGAAGACAATTCTTTTATTATTTTGTTAAAGAAAACATTTGAAGGAGAAAGAGAGGAATCATGATTAGTGAAAAGAAAATGGGAAAGTAGTAGGATCAGAATCACACAGTTAATATTCGGAGTAAACTGGGGAACTTGTAGAGGCATGATTAACAAAGGAACCTAATATGTAGAAAATTGCTTAGGAAGATATAAAATAGAGGGATCAGTTTTAGAAAAATAACATGGAAGAGTCAGGTGAAAAGGGGGAAAGACACCATAGTTGGACGTATCTCTGCCAAACGGAAATATGTGCATTAAACCGTGAGCTCTATTATGCATATACTTATGGGTCTCAGAGCTCATGTCTTAATGAACATAGTCCTGTTTGGCAGAAATACATCCAGTCGAGAGTAAGGGGACTTACAGAGTAATAAAAGAAAAGAGATAACAGTTTCGACAAAATTGGTCAATTAAAATCCCTGCAAATCCTGGGGGGGGGGGGGGNGGGGGGGGGGGGAGTTGGGGAGTTGTATGAAATAGATGAGATCAGGGCTGCCAAGTTGCGTACAACACCACCTACTATATTGATGAAACAGTGATTAGGATAGCACAGCAATCTAGCAACACTGGACTTGATAATCGTATAAACCCGACACAGCAAAGTAGCAACATTCACTAGGTAGTTAAAAGGTTCATATTAGGTACAGTTGGCAACAGTGACGTTACTGGAAACTTCTGTACACTTCTTTCTCTATCGAAGATTAATCATTTTGATTGAATCGTAAGAAAGGGAGAGAAATAAGGAGATTCCAGCCCTGACACTTGCTAATATCGAGGAGGAATTGAATGAGGCACGAAAAAGAACTCTTTCTTCGTGATAGTCGACTGAGGACACGAGTGAGAAGTTTCTAGAGTAAAAAGTTCTATTGCCTAAAAAGAATACACGATGGGGAGCAAAGGCTCTAGCAAAATACATTGAATCAGTTCAGGGTCCGTTCAAATGCGGGCCAAACACATGTTTACCCTCAGGGTTAAGACGCATCACGAAGGAATTTATGTTCAAGGAAACATGTTAAATTGGTCACTTAAGCTGGCACTGAGAGATAGTTAATTAAGAAATTATACTTTAAAAATTAAGATGTCAATTTTCGGACTCCCTCCAATTTAATTATGAATCCTCTTGCCATTTATGAGTAGAAAAAATTGGAGGAACGACCTTTTTTTGTATGCTCCAAACAAGATGCGAAATTATTAAAGAGTTGTTTTTTTTCTTCTTTTTACAAAATTCATCATATTAATGTGCGAAACTTGCCAAACTGGAAAAATACACAAGAACCTTTTCGTGAGACGTAAGACTTCCCTTCCCTCAAATCAATTCCTGATCAACATCAATAGCGCGTAAACCAACTGTAGACAAGGTACTTGAGTAACGAACTTAATAAAGAGGTATCATATTCTTCTACCGGTCGATGGAGGAATAGGAGAATTCGTAAGAATTTCTCTGCAAGAATTTGTGAGTCTTCGACGGATACCGATAGTAGACAAACTCAGAAAAGTTGACTTAGGTATAGTCAAAATACGTATACGAGCGAATTGTACAAAAGTGCGTCATTATCTAACGTAACATTGATCAACACATAAAGTTAAGATACTTCTGAGACAATTAAATCGAAATTGTTTAATGGAATGAGCAGAAACGGTGAAATAGTTGTAGGAAGTTGGTCGTTTGTTGATGGTCAGTCTTTTCGACCGCGACGTCATCTTTCGACCGAGAACGAGACCTCACTTCTTACCACCTGAAACATTTTCAAAATACAAGTTAGATTTAGAACAAACCGTGTTGGACGCAATGCGTGAAGTATTCACGCAGTCTTGTAGGCGCTATGCGTTTCACGCTGACCGCACTGTGTTTGATGCAATGCGTGAAGTATTCGTGCAGTCTTGTAGGCGCTAATATGTGATACATGCCGATCGCCGCGCCGAGGACTTCTCCTTTTCATCTCAAGTCCTCGTTATCATTTCTCTCTAAGTCGCACCGTTCCAGGCCAAATTGCCTGTTTGGTTTCTCTCTTGACTCGACTAATTGAAGGTACTGTCTCTTGTATCACTAAGAGACGACAAAATTAGAAATTACTATACTCTCAGTAAATAAGAGATTTTGTCGCATTTTCTCGTTTGAAATTTTTTTTTGTCTAAATCCGATTTTTTTTATACCTACACTTAAAAAATTGCAAATTTTTGCCGCCCCTTAGATTTGCCGCCATGGGCCGCGGCCCACGTGGCCACCCCCTTAATCCGGGCCTGATGCCGTCTGAAAAATTTGAAGCAAAACATCCAAAAATTTTCCGGTGAATTCGGTTTTTATCGAGGGAAAACTGGCAACGCCTGAAGGCTCATATGGTGTTTTTCCTTGCCAAGGCATCATACTGTTTGGGCCACATTTTAGTGTTTTTTTCCAAGTGTGAAACATTTTCAATGCTAAAATTGGTTTTGAAAATGCACCCACCTTTCTTTCCTCCTCCTTTATCACCTCCGCCTCCTTTTCCTTTATCACCTCCTTTGTTCCCTCCGCCGCCACCGCCACCACCGCCGCCGCCACCGGCTGCTTTTTTCTGGAAACAGAAATTTGAAAAATCAAAATCGAAAATTTTGATAAAACAGAAAATAGTTTGAAAGCATCTTACACAAGGACTGATCATTTGAATTAAACTTAAAATATTTACGCACAGTGGCCTTAAAATTTCGATGTGTAATTTTGCATAATAATTGGACTACATTTTGCAATTTGGACCTATAAATTCCGGCCCAGTTTTAAAACAACGTATGTGCCATTAGTTTCCCTATGCACATAAGTGTTTTTTCAGATGAGCCAGAATTTATAGGTCCAAATTGCAAAATGCAGTCCAATTGATCCAAGATAACTATGCTGCCGTACTAAGGAAGGACGCCGTATGAACATTCCAGTGTTGCTAGATTTCCTTCGATAAAATGTTCATTTTTGAGGAAAGTTATGAATATTTTTCCTTGAAATTTTTAGGAACTTTCGGTGAAATTAGAAACAACATCATCCGAAAAATTGGAAGAAACAGTCTCATAAGTTCATCAGAAAATTCGTGTTTTAGAAATGGAAATTTGGCAACGTCTGAAGGCTCATACGGCATTTTCGCTTAGCACGGCAGTATGGCCCGAAGTTTCAAAATAATATCAGCGGTGCCTCTTTGTACAGAAATCAAAAGGCGTGCAAAAAGCAAGACGGACTATGAGGGAAAAAACCGTAATACGGTTTCATCTGTTTGAATATAATCTATTTGTTGGTATTTCTAGCATTGTTTTCTACCGTCAAAAGTATAGGATACGTGAACAGTTTTGTTGCCCTCTGAATAATCGATTTTTTTCCGAGGTGCGCATCCTTGTCAATATGCAGCACTGAAATCCATAGTATCGAGATGTCTGTAACAATATCACGTCTGGCGACGAAGATCTAACTGGGTGAATCGCTACGAGAGCGAGGCAAACCAGTATGCGCCTTCAATTTGTTGTATATGCTACACGGACATCCATGAGGCTTTAATAGTTGTATCATAGCGCCTTCATTTTATTTCACCAACAGTATGGAGATTCATCCGGTAGGGATGGTTCCAAACGAGCGATACGGAGTCTTCCTGTCTCATGCCGTTTCTCTTTTTAAAGAAGACGAAATATGATGTTTCACCCTTCAACCAGACTTAAACAACATTTTTATGGAAAAATTTAATAATTTTTAAAGAAAAATAAAAAAAGTTAAAAAAGTTAAAAAATTTTCTTGACAACGCTGCGCTACGATTCAATTATCGTTGAAACTACGAAAACGGGAATCTCGGTTTACGATGCTACAGACTTCCTGTCATACCGACTTTTTTTTAAAGATCAAAATACTCAACATCAATTCTTGAAAAAGTCCCTGATTCTTATTATTATTCGTGTGAAGAATATTCTGTAATTCAAGAAATAGAGTAGGTTTGTTCTCCTTTGCTTTAATTAAGTGGGAGCAGAGATTTCAAACCGGCAACGAAACTCACGTTTTTGCAGTTTCATCGGCAATAATATTCTTTGATAAGTGAGATGGATTAATACAGGGTGTCCCAGGATTAAGTACGAATATTGAAAGAGCCGATTCTTTGGGTCAAAAAAGAGGTTTTTGTATTATAGCTTTTCTTCTAAAAATGCTTTCCCTGGGGGCCACGGCGCTCCAAAGTTGGAGAAAAAACAATCGTTTTTTTAACACTGTGACAATGCTTATGAACCGACCAACATTAATGAAAATTGGTGTCGGGGGGTAATTTTTAGCGTTCTTTTCATTGCTGACCTCCAAATGAGGGAAAACTCATTTTGAAGGGGGGTTTAGGGGCATACCGAACCTGAAAGTGGCCAAAATGAATGTTTTTAGCGACAAAAATTGATTTTGGACGGCACCACTAGATTCAACGTGAACAAGCGTCACCTCCGTGTTTTCGCTGTAACTCATCGTTTCCGAGATAATAGGGACTAATAGGGGATAATATGAGCCGATAACAGGGGGACAGTGGGGCCCCCAGGTAATGCGTTTTAGGAAAAAAAGTTATACCACAAAAACGTCTTCTTATGACACAAAGAATCGACTCCTTCAATATTCTTGCTAAATCCTGGTACACCCTGTATATTCATAAAGTTCTCGAATCTACAGCCAAAGTGAGGCGAGGATCGCGGTAGAGGATTCATCGCAGATTTTAGCGCTAAATCCGGAAATGCAATCTGTTCTCCCCGTTATGCAGCAGCGATTCTTGAATGTTGGATGACATTCTCTGAGAGACAGGTGCATGATAGAAAAAATACGGTTGTCACTTTCTGACTTTAAGCTAGAAATCCGTGAGAGATCGCGTACCCTGATCTTTGCCACATTCTGGCTGCAGACATGTGGGGTTTTTTTTCGTTGAACCGTTGTGAAAAATTTGCAAACTTTACATTGAATCTTAAGACTATCATCACTCTTTATGAAATGGATCGTATTCGATACAACAAACAGGTTAGATTGTGTCGATGTTGATTGGTTCAACATGTAGACGTGGCCTCAAAAGTATATTGAGTAATCTGAGGGAATGGGTTTCTTGTAATAGATTTTTGATTCTTATGAGTATAAAATGGCAATTAGGCATTCATAGCTTTTCTCACTTAAAGCCGAAAATTTTTGTCGAGAATCGAGAATCGAGAATTTTTCTTTAATCAAATGAAACATCGAACCACTATCGAATACGATCGAAGCAAGCTTGCAGTTCGGCCGCTCAATAAATTAATCCACGTCGATTCCGCTCTAAAATATAGGATAATTTATATTTAATTCAGGTCATAGTCTCCACGATCGCACAGCCTAGGTGAGAGCGGAAGACTGTGTATCGATCAGCTCCGTATTTCAATTCGCAGAAAATTATTAAAACCGTTTCGCGCTTCCGTTAATATTCGCCTCATTCCTTTTCCCACTATCAGGAGACAAGCAGAGCAGGTGTCACTTCCTCAATAGCTGTATTGATTATTGATTCTCGGCCTGACGCCACCGTGANAAAATAAAGGATTTAATTCAGGTCATAGTCTCCACGATCGCACAGCCTAGGTGAGAGCGGAAGACTGTGTATCGATCAGCTCCGTATTTCAATTCGCAGAAAATTATTAAAACCGTTTCGCGCTTCCGTTAATATTCGCCTCATTCCTTTTCCCACTATCAGGAGACAAGCAGAGCAGGTGTCACTTCCTCAATAGCTGTATTGATTATTGATTCTCGGCCTGACGCCACCGTGAGCTCAAATTGTCGAGGAGATTGGATTGGAGTTAGCTCGAGTCACCTTAGAATTATTCCTGCATCGCACTTCAAATTCTCGAATGAAATTTCCTCCATCCTTTCAACCTACGTTCGAACCGTTTGCTTCAGGAGGAACAGGGCGACTCCTCGCGCGGATAAGGTCAATCAGACTTCATTTCTTCGATAATTAATTTTTCGACGATAATATTGAGGACATGTGGATATTCCACACTATGGAAACAAGTGGCTTGATTTAAACAGAAATTAGGGTCTTGGAGGGAGAGGCGCGTAATTGCAGTTTTGCTATTCGAGAAATACTTATTTGAGGTTTCGAAATGATGGATCCTCATGGCGGGAAGAAAGTTCAAATTGACTTTTGATGCTTAAAAATTGGAATTAAGAGAAAAATTTTCAATGAACATGCATTAAAACTAGTTCTACTTCAAATCATTAACGCCTCAATCTTTTCAAAAATACACTAATGCGCCTTTTTCTCCAAGCCCCTCAAATATTCTTATATTTGCTTCTGCAAAGATTCTTGTGAATCGAAAAGAAAATCGCTCATGTCAAAGAGGAACCTGCCCGATTCACGCGATTTTACTCCTTGTTTAAGATGAAATCTTTTTGTTTGCGAATCCTGATAATATTTCCGAACGAATCAAGGCATCTTTCTTCCGCCTAAATCAGGAAGAAAGATGCTCATACCGAGCCGCAAAAATTCTCGAGAATTGAAAAGAAAATCGCCTTTGTCAAAGAAAAACGCATTGGAAAAAAAACACATCGGATCTAGAGTCCAGACTCTTGAAAACATTGACAAGAAAAAATACTCTTGATTCAATCGGATTTTTGCTTGAATCAACACGAAATCCGCTTAAATTAAGAGGCTTTAATTAAGAGGCTTGGTTCTTGATTTAAGCTAGATTCTGATTGAATCAAGAGTACTTTTTCTTGATGTTTTTAAGAGCATGGACTCTAGATCCAATGTGTTTTTTTTTTTTTTTTTTTTNGCGATTTTACTTTTAGTTTAAGATGAAATCTTTTTGTTTGCGAATTCTGAGAATATTTTCGAACGAATCAAGACATATTTCTTCCGCTTTGATCAGGAAAAAAATGCTCATACTGAGAGGCAAAAATTCTCGTGAATTGAAAAGAAAATCGCTCATATCAAAGAAAAACCTGCCCAATTCACGCGATTTTACTCGTAGTTTAAGATGAAATCTTTTCGTTTGCGAATTTTGAGAATATTCCCGATCGCATCAAGACATTTTTTCAAATGTAAAGCAGGTTGCGTTAAGCGTCGCAGAAGGAGAAAAAAAATTAATAAATTTGTACTTACATCACCGCCTTTTCCACCTCCGCCGCCTCCACCTCCGCCACCACCTATTTACAAAATAATCATTAATAATAAACTTGATTCCCAAACATTTGAAATAAAAATGCCGCACAAAGTACTGTTTTTCAAGGCATTTGTATGTAGCTTTGAATGATTTATTGATAAATATTATGAATATAAATTTTTCTCTAATACAATTCAAGTAGTTGTCTGCATTGGCGGATCCAGCGATTTGGCAACATCGGGTTTCCTCCATTTAAACCTATGAAAATGTATCGATTCTTGGAAAGGCCAGGTGTTCCGACAAGAATCGATTATTTAGCATAGGTGTAAATGGAGGAAATTCAATGTTGCCAAATTGCTGGATCCGCCTCTGGTTATCTGTATACATATTGATGGCCAAAGTGCCATTCACGTACCTTCGTTTGCGACGTTGCAGACTCTCTGTCATACTTTATTCTTTCTTTGGAAAGCTAGTCAACTTAATTTCTTGAAAACCTCCTTGATTTTCCTCCACGTCGGCGAAATATTCCGCACTAATTTCATGATATATATAGTTGTAAAATGGGAGCAAAGATTTTGAAACACCGCAACGAAGATTTACGGTTTCGCAATTCAGCCATCACTATGTAATGACCAAATATATTTCAGACCACGGAGGCGAAATCTTTACTCAGAAATTTTTGTCGAATTGGGTTGAGAAATCGGATTTCGAGTATTCCTAAAGAAACTATTTCGTATGCTATAGCAGGCGATGTGAACAATCTTTTTTTTCCTTTTCATTCCAACAAAAGGCGTTAATTTGCATTATAATTTGGCGATTTCCCGCCACAAATGTGGCTAATTCTTTTGGAATGTTTTTCCCCCGTGCGTTTTGGAACCGCTTTCAATCAGCAATAACTCTTGGTATACTATGCAATTTTTAGGCAGTTTTTTTTGTCCCGCAATGCTCATGGAGCACAGATCTCTAAAGGAACAATTCGTAAAGCGTAACTCAATTTCCAGTTTCTGTGAGCCGAGGTTTTATTAACCCCCTGACATTTGAGAGGCTCGGAGGACAAGGCGTTTAAGTGCAATTTTTGCTATTTCGAGAAATACGTGTTTGAAGTTTCGAAATTACATGCAGCCTTATGGCGGAAAAGATAGTTCAAACTGACTTTTTAATGCTTAAAAAGTAGAGTTTGGGAACGAATTTTTTACAGAATATGCACTGAGACTATTTTCACTGGAAATCATTGATATCTCAATTTTTCAAAAAACCGCACTTATGCGCCTTGTCCTCCAGCCCCTTAATTATTGTTCTGATTCTGTTGTTTGTAGAGTCTAAGTTCGAATTGGAACTTTGTCGTCGCGGACAAGCCTCGTATTTTCAATCTAGCGTATGTAGTTGAACCAAGCGCGATGCGCCGTTAAGTAAGATCTACGTCACACCAGCTCACAGTGCCAAAATAAATGATTCACCCTTGACAATGCTTGTCTGTCAGGGCTGAGCATAGAATTAAACTTCCTCGTTCAAGACGGTAACGACTCGCATTTGCTGATAACAAAATATGATTTTTGATACCCTCAAAATAATGACAAATTGACACCAAAATGCCAATTTTTCGGTCACATTTAGGACCGTCCGCAGGGAGAGATCATATCGCTGAAAAGCTCAAGCTTTTGACATTGCTATCATTGTTGTAAGTGGTAACTGGGTAGCGGGGTATTTTGTAAAAATTTCCTACCAAAAAATTCCCGGAGAAGTCAAACGGAACCGGAGTTATGCAGGATTGACCTTAGCTGATAAAAAAATGTCGTCTTAATGAAAAGCAATTGAAAGTTGACGGCTAGGTTTGAGGCCCAACTTCGGATTATAATGCAAATGTGTGTGCACTCTTGTTATTTTGATGGATTAGGTATACCGATCGTTAGGTATTCTTTGGGGTACTACAGAGTTTTGCGTTGAGTAGGTACTCAAATGCTTGTTTTCCACCCCGATTCCCAAAAATCGCTCTACTGAAAATTAGCCCTTTCAGAGGTCCGTTTCTCTACAGACGTCCGAATTGAAATGAGGAGAAATGGATCCCCAGATGAGACAAAATTTAATGAGCAATCGCGAATGACAAATTTTGAACATGGGTCTCGCTGAAGTTTCAAATATTTTAAAAAATGTTTCCACAACATTTTGAAAGATATATCTGCAGTTAAGAGTCAAAGGAACGTAACTAATAGTGTAAGTAATTTAGTTGAATACAGCATCGCTCTTCGGACATAAGTTTGGAAGGCAAAGAGTTAGGTGTGCACATATGATAGTTTCTCTTCTTAAATAGCATCATGACTGATATCGTGACAATTTATAGTTAATTAAGAAAGGGGTTTCCATTTACGCCAACCCAGTTAAAAAAAACTCTAACATCCCGGGTTTCCATTTATTTAAAATAAAAGAAGAGAGAAACGGAGAAAAAGGAATGTAAAGAGGAAAAAGAAAGCAGGAAGGAGAAAATAATTAAACGGGGTCCAAACACAATCACACGTACACGTACAGTCCAGTCGTCCGTTAAAACAGAAGTATATGTCAGGAAATCTACATTGCCTTAAACCGAGATAGATATCCCTAGTCTCGCCGAGGCTATGTAGCAGCTATACAAGAACATGATAATGGAAAAATCAAAATTTTTGTGCTATTTTTGAAGTCAAAATCACGCCGTTTACTTCATAATTTACACTTCCCCCTCGTCATTTATAGTGAAATTCGACAACTGGGATGAAAGAGTATGTTAATCCTGTAAAATTTACGATTCCTGCAAAGATTCATACCATCGCTCGGCAGAGACGCTGAAGTTTTACGAATGCACCCGATTTAAACGACACGCGATCACAAATAGACGAGTTTAAATCAAAAGGAAGTGTCTTTATTGTGACATAGGCCCTGAGACCCATACGATTACATGCATGACAAGAGCCATTTCCAAATAAAGCTGGCTCCTTTCGATTTAAGTACTTCTAAATTTGACGTAAAATATGTATCTGCTAAGCTTTATGGGTCTACGGAGGCAGCGGATGATCCTTCTTCCCTAAATCCCCCTCCCCCTCTCTGACCCTTTTATTGTAAATGAGGTAATCATGACGTCACTATTTTTGCGGATGAGCATTGAATTGTTTACATACTTTAATTCGCGCGTGTTGATTCCCTCCGATATCCCCAATCACATATCTACTCCCCTACAATCAACAGAAATCCAAACCCACCTACATGCGATGGACCCAATATTACTACCAAAATTCTGAAACTCTTCACCTCTCTTAATTTAAAAATCTAAATTTTCGTATATACTCCCATTTTCAAAATTATCTGTAAAGACGTTAATAGCCTGAGACGCTGAATGTCTTAAAATTATACTAACTAACTAATCATTTCCGTGACAAACAACGATTTTGTATACCTTCTGCAATGGGGAAAGATGGTAGGGATGAATATAAGTAAAATTTTTGCACTGAAATTCTGTATAAGATCGTTCCTCATGTAATTTTAAATTTTAATTTTCGGATAAAACAGAGAATTTTCATGTGGGACCATTTTCACACATGAGAAAGTTTAGACTTATTCATGATTTATTTTTTGATCAACTATAGAGTTTACGGGCGATCAGTTAAAATTTGACTTGGTTGATTAAAATGGTGAGAATGTCATAAAAATGGGGGAAGTAAAAGAAGTCAGAATTTGCCTTTAATTTTAGCCTTTTCCTCTTCTCTGCATATATTTGATGAATTATTTAAGTGAGTTTCGTGAGTTTCAAAAGCTCTGTCACTAATTCATTCTCTTCCAGGAAAATAACAAAAAATTCTGAAAGCTTCTAAAAACTTATTTAAAAATTATGCGAACTTTTGCACATTTAAAATCGCTGGTCTTAAAATAAAATCAATCGAGAAGATTGCAATATCGGAAAATTAGACACGAGTTTTTTGTTTTCGCCATCGACAAATATCTCGGTTAAATTGCAAATTGAATAAGAATACAAGATAAAATAGAAAAGAAGAGGAAAAACAGAAAATTGTCGGTAAAAATATGAATAAAGAAATCCCGTGTGTGATGTTTCAAAATTTCTACTCAGATTTTAATTTATCATAGAATCATTATCAGCAAACGTTCTACAGATGCAGGAAGAACTCACGAGAAATTTTGTATAAATTACCCTCAATCATCCCTCAAAAAAATCAAATGTGGCAGAAAAAATGTCGCAAATCGAAATTCGTGGTTTTACAGTTTCACTATCAGAATTTTGAAGAATGATAGAAATAATAATGACAGCCCTAGAAGTTGGTTGAAAAAGGAAGAAAATAGTGGCATGTATTAAAAAACGGCACTTTTTTTAAATATTCAAGAAAAAAAGGGAAATAAGTGAAGGAATATGAAAACACCTATTTCCAGGCAAACTTGACGTCATGTAATGCTCAGCCGAGCGTGACGTCATATGCAGGCTCAAAAGAGCGGGAAAGAATCTCTTGAGAGTGGAGGGGGAGGAAAATCTCACGGGCCGCCACTCAATCTGTACTAATCCCGGAAACATCTTACACACCAATTATGAATAAAACAACTAAACTCTATTTAATTTTTCTAAGCGCAGTATCTAGATAATACAATATTGTGATGTGTTTTTTACACTAGAATAAACCTTAGTATTATGCACCGTAATAGAAAAATTAGCGAAAAATAACAAGCGCTCAAATTACGTCGTTTCATCCATAAAAAAAATATTCAACACACAGGAGAATAACGTACGGGAATCATGCAGTGCCTTGGACAGGGAATTCAAGGGTGCGTTGTGAGATTCACCCTTGGGTTGCATCATGACGCGTAGAAGGATCTTTCGGAACTTCCTGGACGCTTTCCTCTGGGATACTGACTTTCATGCTGAGAGGGTCGTTCTAAAAAGGACGAGTTCGGAAAGGAGGCGACGAAAAGGGGTGAAAAAAGAGCAATTACCTTTTCCTTTACCCATGGTCGAGGTTGATGGATAGTCGTCGGGCTTTGATACGTAGCAAAATCAATATGAGGCGCGCGGCAGTCGGGGAGTATTTTAAGCTGGCTCGCGCTTGACGACTGCACCGCTGCACTCGGGAGCAGCACCGGGCTGGGTCACGTGATTTCAGCTGCATGCGAATTTCAGCGTTTCAGCACACGGCGCGGCGGGCGCGTTGCCGGGCCAAAAATACGCGCGACCGTGGGTGGGTTTCGCGACCGAGGACGCGACGCCTGTGGTTCATGACCAAACGGGGTTGTCAGACCCAAGTAGCAGTAATCGCGATAAATGGCGAAGATTTAAGTGCGGATGAAATTTTCGAATGATTGGAACAAGAAATTAAGAATATTGAAAGTTTTCAAGAAAATTCGTACTTTAAAAGAAGACCCTGGTAAAAATTTGCGATAGGAGCTGCGTTTCAAAATACCACAGGAGTTCTTATAGCCGACTAAAGAAGGCTATTGGAAATCATATAGCTGGCTGTAGAAAGCGGAGGAAATCATACAGCCGGGCTATACGAAGCTATAAAAAAGTATACAGTCGGGCTACAGCTCCTATCGCCAGGCTTAACACTTTATCGCCATTGGCTATAAAAGGCTATAAGAAATTGTGTAGAAATGCGTGTGCTTTGGAAATCATTAAGTTTGAAACGGAACTACCTTCATATTTACAAAACACACATAATATATTTTCCTTTAAAACATATTTTTTTTCATCAATTAAAATGAGAATTATGCATACAGAGTGTGCAAACATTTCAAAATCATGAGTTGAAAAACGCTGACTCCGCAAGATTAAATATTAGCGCCTAACTTAAAGCGGAGCGGCGACGCTCTAGCACCTACAAACCTAACAGGAATACTTCACGCATTGCGCAACGCGTGAAGTATCCCTGTTAGGTTTGTAGGCGCCAATGCGCGTTTTGTGCTGGCTGTCCGCCCGCCGCGCCGCAGCGTGCCACGGCGTCTGAAGCAACTATTTCACACCAGAGGTATTGCACAGTATCATAAGAAATTGAAGGCGCTCCAACATATTAAGAATGACAGGCATCCTTCAAAAGCACGGAACATTCCTCGCAAAATTAATCAAGATACAACGGCACAAAAAGAGAGCGGTGGTCCAAAAACTAACTAAGTCCTAGTATCCGTATTTAGTAACGTTTAGCATAAACTTTATCGTCTGGCCGTTGCTTAGTCGCCATCGGCTATAAAAGGCTAAAAGAAATTGTACAGCCGGCTACAGAAGCTATTGGAAATCTTACAGCCGGCTTTAGGTCTATGGTATTTTGGAACACAGATTCTACTGCCAATTTTTACCAGGGGAGATTTGCTAACTCTCGTAGGGATTACACGGCGTACTTCCTTGGCACGACAGAATTGACGCACCAGCGAGCTGATAATTCAAATTGATAGTTATAGCTATAGATGAAGATATAGACCAAGGAGTTAATGGATAGACAAAAGTTAAGCTGAGTCTGGACTCATCAGCTGAAAACCAGAAATTTGAATTGTGAGCGGTATTACTTAATGAGGTAGTCAATAATGATTCAACGCTTCATTTTGTTTATAAAATTATTGGTATATTTACATGGCGAAACTTAGTAACAGAAAAGCATTTCAGTCGAAATTTACCGCACGTAGTACAGTTTGATTAAGCCATTTAAAAATAAATTAATTGCCATGGAGTTTGCTGTACCTAAACGATTTCTTCACAGTATAGGTTTGAATTAGGTCGGCAAGTTCAGTTTTTACGCGAAGATGTTTTAAAATCAAAAGTACAATTTCCAAATAGGCATTTCATTACGTTTCACATGACCCTTCAATTTATCAACCGTCAAGTTCAAAAACAATAGAGACCCACCACTACTACCGTAATGGTAAAATTATGGAATAGTCCAATAATAATGGCGAGCACTCGCAATTTCACGGTATCAACATTTCCTTGTGCGGACAGCAACACTTATTTTACCTTCTTGCTAGCCGTTGAACCGTGCGTTGAGCTTTTATAAAAGACCTATAAGGCAAATAAGCTGCTCAATATGTCATGGAAATACCAGCAAGAGGACAATTTTGAAGGTTGAGAAATGACACCCCGAAATTAGTAGTGCTCATTTATTGCCAAGAAAATGGTTAAGGGTCTCAGTCTTTACTTTTTCTGCGGGTTGATTATTGAAACTGATTGATAAAAAGATAGACAAAGGGAAAATGGAGCAATACTATTGGTGAAATCGGGTACGGCTATAGAGAGATCCTATACTGCCGTGCTAAAAGAAGAACGCCGTATGAACAAACGAGAGTTACCAAATTTCCTCTGATCAAATGTCCATTTTTGAGGATTGTCATGAATATTTTTCCTTTAAATTTTCAGAATCTTTAGGTAAAATTTCGAACTAAATTATCTGAAAATTTGGAGAAAAAATATTCATAAATTTACCAGGGAATTCGCGTTTTATGAAAGGAAATTTGGCAACGCCTGATGGTTCATACGACGTTTCTCCTTAGCACGGCAGTATAGCTAGTCCATCATGGTTCCCCCTCAGTATATAAGAACCTACAATTACAACCAATAGGATCGCTCTATTTTTGCCTTGTCTCCTTTAACTATCGCTTTTTCTATCAGTTCAATGATCAGCTTGCTGGTCAAGTTCCTGATATGCACCCTTTTGAGCTGAAGAGATCGAAATCAGTCTTTATGGATTGAGATGTTATCACGATTCATTCAGCCTCGGGTCGAAATGCCACTGGGCTGAGCTTGAGATCCACCAGGTTGACCTTGAGATCCTCCAGGTTGACCATGAGCGCGACCAGGCCGACCTTGAGAGGCACCAGGCTGAGCTTGAGCGCCAACGGGCTGAGCTTGAGAGACAACTGAGCTCACGTAGTCAAAGAACTCATCAGATTTGATGAGGCCAGTGTGCGAGTGGCCTTGAAAACCTTTGACTATGGCGTGAGGGAACTTTTCGCAATATCGCAGACTCTTCAGCGGAACCACAGCGTCACCCACCGTGTTGACCTTTTCGTAGTCACTCGTGTCGGTCAACTTGTCTGATTTTATCCGATACCTGAAATCTCAAAGGAAAACGGCCTGTAAAAATTTTTGAAATTCAGTTATGGACTAAGCAATGAGGAGCTCTGTCGTGTATAGTGGCCTTAAGAGAGCCGTTTGAAAGGGCGAGCCGGCCGCATGACGCTGCAACTGTTGCGAGCTGTAGCCAATGAACTGTGCTGATTGGCGAAGCGGAAGACTTGCCGCCACACACTTTTTTATTCATGAAAATAAATTTTGACAAAAATATTTCACTAACTGTCGCTCCTTTTAGCCTAACGTTTCGTTTATTGGGCCGTAGGCTTAAATGAACCTTTTTGAACGGTCAGTTGAAGGCGATATTACAGGTCTATTGGAGGCAATGTCAACTGTTTTTATTTTATTTTTTTTTTTCTTTATAGAGTTTGAAATCTCCGTCATTACAGCATGAAAATGGAATTGGGCGGATTTTATCGACTTTTCAGTTCCGTCAAGTTAATTTTTGAAATTCCGGGCATCAAAATGCCTGATGAACATCCAGCATCCTCCATTCAAAAATTCTAGAAATGTGCATGAAAACAAATCGCCCAGAGAAAATGTACTACTATTCTTCGTACATTAATGCCCTGGTGAGGTGGCTGATGGCATTTTTTGAGAGAGAGAGCAATAATCGAGTGGAGAGTCGTCAGCCCCCCTTCCAGAACGCATCTGTCAAGACTTCTGGTCTTATGTGAGGATTAAACAAATCTCTCTTTTTCAATTTCAGTTTGATGTGCGTCCGCTTCTTTGTATTGAGATTAATAAAAATTATCATCTGACCAGGAATTAATGACTTGAACCCGGAAAAAATTTTAATATTCCTCACGTGATGGGAGTTTCAATCTTGGAGGAATTGGCCCACGTGCAAACGTATCTCACCCCCAATCGATTCAACGGGACAGGGTACAGATGGCGGAGATCTTGTCGCATCAAATATCCGTCTATAAATCCGGCATCCCTGAAAAATGGCTTAGTAAATTTGTGATGTAGATGAATAGAGCTTCTATCCGGGAATAAATAGTGAAAAGCTTCATCTTTCTTTCTTCGCAGGACCTTGCTGGACTTTAGTCTACGTCAGCGGCGTGCCGTGCTTTGCCATAGATCGAGTAATCTTCCATTTTAACCTATAGAAAAGGATCGATAAACGAGGTGTTCGCAACGAGCACCTCAATAATCGATTCTTTACCATAGATTCAAATGGGGGAATATCGATAGTGGATCATTCACGCCTCGTCCTTGGGCCACGTCAAAGTTACCTTCGTTGCTTTTACAAAGAAAAAAACTTCGTGCGTGGGACCCGAAGTTGAGGTCGTATAGATATCTGACGTTTTCGGATTACGTATCTGAAAACTTGAGGTCCAGCTGCCGAAGTTCGGGTCAGGCATCTGAAGTACTTCGAAATATACAGAGGGGTTCGGGTCACACATCTGAAGCACTCTGGTACATACCGAAGTGCCCCGATGTTTGATCCGAACTTCGGCAGCTCGACCCCAAGTTTTTGGATGCGTGATCAAAAAACTTCAGAGATCCATATGACCTCAACTTCGGGTCCCACGCACGAAGTTTCTTTCTCCGTGTAGCGCGGAGATTTTCAGGAATATGTTTCTTCTATTTATTGAAAGTAGGAAGAAAACGCTTAATAATTTCCAATCTACAGGGCCGGATTAAGGGGGTGGCCACATGGGCGGCAAATTTAGGGGGCGGCAAATTTAACAATTTTTTAAATGTACGTATAAAAAAAAATCGGATCTAGGAAAAAAAAATTATCAATAAGAAAAAGAAACAAAATCTCTTTTTCCTGAGAGTATATAGTAATTTCTAATGTTGTCGTTTTTCGGTGATACAAGAGACAGTATATTTAGTTAGTCGAGTTAAGAGAGGAACTAAACTCGCAATTTGGCCTGGAGCTCAGCGCAGAGAGGAATGATGACGAGGACTTGAAATGAAAAGGACAAGCCCTCGGCGCGGCGCGGCGGTCGACATGTAACACATATTAGCGCCTACAAGACTGCATGAATACTTCACGCATTGCGTCAAACACAGTGCGGCCAGGAGCGGTTGGCGTGAAACGCATAGCGCCTACAAGACTGTAGGAATACTTCACGCATTGCGCCAAACACAGTGCGATCAGCGCGGCGGCGGAAGTTAAAATTATTAAACCACATTTATGTTTGTTCTTCCATAATTTTTTGGTTCATTTCTTACAAATGGAGGACCCTGTCCATACAGAGATAGGTTTACGGAACTTAACTTTCGCGTCAAGTTCCGTGAAATTTTGAAACTTTTGAAATGCATCCAACACGAGCAGGTAAACGCGTCTGGTGCACCCCTCCCTCTCCGGCACGTTCACTTAATGGTTTTGGCGCGTATACGTAGTATACCGCCTTTGCGATCAGTTCGACCTCGATTCGATTAAATATCTTTTAAAATCGCAGAGAATAATATATTTGCATTGACTTGCCTCAAACGATCACGTCTCCGGTTAAAAATGACGTGATACTGATAAGTAATATTTTAACTAGAGGACTCTTTTTCAAATCGGCCACTCATCTGGATGATACCATCACTTTAATCCAGCTTAAAATGCAATTGGGTTCTTCAGTAGACAATATTGTCTTGGGGACCTTTGATCTAAGACAATCGGTGCTTACTTACTGGAAAAACTGCTGATAATTTTGGGCAGTGTATTTTCTCCCTTTCGGCACCCATTCAACCAGAACTGTTTTTGCGAATGCTTCCTCTTGTGGTAACAGATATGCAAGAGACTGAAATGACTGTGAGAGAGTTAGTATGACTGACTTATCAATTGTCGGAGCACCGTAGTCTTCGCCTATTTGATTAAATAGCCAAGAAATAGGACATTACTCTAATGTTGGTATGACATGTGAGATCTTAAAAATAACCCTCTCGACTAAGTGTCGGTGATAAAGTTTTTCTTTTTCAGCTGACAGGCTCTTACTTCAACTAGAACAGGAAAACAAATTGAAGTTCGGTTGGATTAGTTACTTTATTCTTTCTACTTTCATACACCTTTTTGTTGATTTCTCTCGTGATTTATTTTTCATCTTTATAAATAGAAAATTAAATGTATTCTTATCTGCTCTGTGGTCATTTAAGCAGATTTCAAAGAAAGTAAAATTGCTCTCAAGGAAGGAATCAAAACTCATATCCAAAAAAATACGCTAAGTAAAGTGTAAGTTAAGGGTCTGAGTAAGGTGACCAAAGCCGCTTGGAAAAGGTTAAGTTTCCTTTTCTTGCGGGTGGAATTGCAAATTGTCACTCAAGGCCGGATTTAGGGCCGCATGGGCCGCGGCCCATGGCGGCAAATTAATAAGGGGGCGGCAAATTTTACAATTTTTTTTTAATGTAGGTATAAAAACAAAACAAAAATCGGATTCAGAAAAAAAATACAATCGAGGGAAGGCGAAAAAATCTCTCATTTACTGAGAGTGTAGTAATTTCTAATTTTGTCGTCTTTTGGTGATACAAGAGACAGCACCTTTAATTAGTCGAGTTAAGAGAGAAATCAAACACGCAATGTGGCCTGAGACGGCGCAGCGCAGAGAGCAATGATGACAAAGGACTTGAGATGAAAAGGAGAAGCCCTCGCAGCGGTCGGCATGTAACACATATTAGCGCCTACATAACTGCATGAATACTTCACGCATTGCGTCAAACACAGTGCGGTCATCAGCTGTCGGCGGGAAACGCATAGCGCCTACAAGACTGCATGAATACTTCACGCATTGCGTCGAACACAACAGTGCGATCAGCAGCGGTCGAAGTGATACGCATAGCGCCTACAAGACTGAGGGAATACATCATGCATTGCGCCAAACACACCGTATGCGGTCAGCGCGAAACAGTGCTGCGGCGGCGGAAGTTAAGATCATTAAACCACATTTATGTTTGTTCTTTTATAATTTTTTCGTTTAAATCATATAAATAGAAAGCCTTGTCCACACAGAGACAGGTTTACGGAACTTACTTTCGCGCGAAGTTTCGTGAATTTTTGGTAGTAGTGTTGACAGGGCTTTCGCAAAAAAGGTGTCCAACACGAGTAAACACGTCTTATGCACCCCGCCTCTGTTGTTTTTATTGATGTTTCAAAACGAATGAGAAGGGGGCGGCAAAATTCAGGCGGCCCATAGGCGGCAAGTAGGTAAATCCGGCCCTGTTGTTACATCTTAAATCCACCTCTGCATCTCGAGAACTAGTGTGGCTGTCCAAAGGAAAAGGAACCATTGTGCACCAAACAAGTCTTCCGAGAGGACAAATGGACTACATTTTGCAATTTGGAACTATAAATTCTAGCCCGGTTTAAAAACGACGTATGTGCCATTATTTTCCCTATGCACATAAGTGTTTTTTCAGAAGAGCCAGAATTTATAGATCCAAATTGCAAAATGCAGTCCAAATAGGATGTCGAAAAATTGGAGTCTAAGTTTCAAAAAATAAAAACCATCCAGTGTTCCGAGGAACAAACATGAGATTGGTCTCGTGGAGAGTATGGTTCAGTGCTAAAGTTTCCGCACAGAGAGTTTTTTTCTGGAAGATTACTGTAAACCTCAAATTATCATCCAGCTCAAAGCAGAGTGCTCGGAAAATTGTTGCATTCGAAGCAGTGATGGCACGAATCGTTGTTTCCTTGACGAAAGAACAAAACTCCATTCCAATATTGCGAAACCGACTAAAACAATTCAATTTTTTAAATGAATAAGCCTGCCTTTTGTATGAGGGCAGAAAAAAATCAGTGAAATTTCTAATCAGAAATCCTCTCTATTTTATCCAATTAATTTTTAGCCTGCATAACTTTTGTTAATTTTTGTATGAGGGCAGAGAAAAATCAGTGAAATTTCTAATCAGAAATCCTCTCTATTCTATCCAAATAATTTTTAGCCTGCATAACTTTTGTTAATCTTTGTATGAGGGCAGAGAAAAATCAGTGAAATTTCTAATCAGAAATCCTCTCTATTCTATCCAAATAATTTTTAAGACGCTCGATGGACGGGGTGAGGAAGGGGAATAAGACGATTGATGGGCAGAAGTGAGGAAGGGGAGTCCAAAGGTCAGAGTTTTAATAGTGGGTATTTACCTTCAGAGGCATTTGTTTAGTCATGGTCACGGTGGCCGGTGGCCTTATCAAGGTCGACTTCCAAAAAAGGAATACGAATTCAGAGTAAGGAAAAAGTCATTGAAAATATCGTTTGGCAGGAAATTTTTTTTTGGAACATCGTTTCGTTATTCAACTAAAATTATTTGCTCATTAACGAGGGCCGGATTTACGGGGTGGCCACATGGACCGCGGCCCCGATTCAGAGAAAAAATTACGAACGAGAAAAGGTGACAAAATCTCTCATTTTCTGAGAGTATAGTAATTTCTAATTTCGTCTTCTTTTAGTAATACAAGAAGCAGCACCTTTAATTAGTCGAGTTAAGAGAGAAACGAAACACGCAATTTGGCTTGGAGCGGCGCGGTGCAGAGAGCAATGATGACGAGGACTTGAGATGAAAAGGAAAAGCCCTCGGTGCGGCAGTTGGCATGTAACACATATTAGCGCCAGCAAGACTGTATGAATACTTCACGCATTGTAGTACGGTGAGTACACAAAAAAACCCTGCACTTTTTGATTGGAAATTGCCGCTTTCAGGGATCATTCTTATGGTCATAAGAAGCCCTTTTAGAAGGGGAAGCACTCTAAGGTCCGTGCAGGAACCAAGATGGCGGCCGATAAAGATGGCCGCCGAGCGTTTTTTCAGCGCGCTATATCTCGGAAACTTCGTGTCCGATTTTCGTTTTCTTGATCTCGTTTTGAAGCTAAAATGCTTCTCCAGAAGTCTACCTCATAAATTTTTTCGCCTAAGGCACACATAAACGGTCATTAGGAAAATTTTGAAATTTTGAAATTTCACCCAATTTTCAAGAGCGTATAATTATTTAACACGCGAGAAAATGACGTTTTTTCCTTAAGTAACGGCGATGGGAAATTATCTGACTTTTAATTTGATACCAAAACAATTTTTTTGCGTCAAAAAATGCACCCTCCAGAGCACTTTAAGTGAGCGTCGCGGTACGCGGTGCGCGGTGAAAACGGCGGAATACGGGCAATTAACGCGCTACGCAAGTCATACGCGCGCTATATCTCGGCACATTCTCGTCCGATTTTCATTATTTTGGGCTTGTTTAGAAGCTATGTTGAAGGTCAACGAGTGTTACGGATATACTTGCGTTTTTCCTCCGACTTTTCCGGGTATTTTCCAAATGAATAGAAAATGTTCAAATTGCCAAAATTTACAACGACGAATAATTTTCAATAGGGTGGAGAAACACACCTCCTCTCGTGTTTTGTAGAAAGATCATTTTCTGACGTTTAAAATGATACCACAACCATTTTTGTGCGATGATAAATAAATCCATGAGCTCAATTTGAAGCGCACCCCCGTGGCAAGCACTTTCCGTTGGTAGGCGTTTTGACCCGATTCGTCGCCGCGCCGCGCCTTATGCAACCCAAGTGGACGCGACTTTGCGTGACTTCCCGGATTCTAAGACAGATTCTTGATAAATTGCGATGTACAGAGGGTTATCTCACTTCCCATAAAACTTAATTTGTTTATCAAGATGAATTTTCATCGGTATGGTTGGTATATACGGAGGGGAAAAGGGACAGAAATTCGTAAAAATCAACATGAAAGCGTATTCTCTTTTGGCCTTGGGGTATTTGTTGTCTGGTATAAGACGTGATATGAAATGGTTTGAAAGATCGACTAGCTGTTTTCGATGTTTTTTCTGGGAAGTTTTGCAATGACGGAGGAAAGGTGGAACACGATAGGATTATTTTGACCAAAAAATTACTTCGTACTTATTTAAATTCATTTGTAAATCTTGAGAGAACATGAACATTATTTTGAACTCCGTAATTAATTGACATTCCGGCCTTACACTAAAAGTTAGGCAGTACCGCATCATATCCTCGGTTATTGTGTGCCTTAAGCAGCGATTGTGCACGTATCGTAAAGGTCTTGGGGGAAACTTTTATTTGAGCTACAAAACTCTTCAGCAAAAATCATTATGATATGAATTGCCCTCCGCATGGTAGTGAATTTCGATCGAAAAATTCACATCTCCACGTTAGTCCCCCCACCCCTAGCGATTTGTTTTTTAATTTGAAGAATAAGAATTTTTTAAATTTCCGAAGTAAGAAATTTGAAATCATTGGAAGTCGGGAAAAGGAGGATGATGTTGGTGAAGCAATTTATCTGCCTCTGTTATTGCCTGTCTTTTAGAAATGGCCAAATTGAAATACTCGTGGGTAGCAAAAGGAATCATATCTCTGGAAAGGAGAGAACACCAGGGAATCTTCCAGCCTTACAGAAGGGCCGCTACGTGCATAATTTATGGATGATGAAATAAGAAAAGAAAACAAACATTAGGTTCTGAGTGTACAATTGAGATGATAGTCAAGCTGACTGATTCTTCAAACTCTCACAAAAATAGAAGAGTAAACTGAAAGAAAATATCATCAGCATAGGCAAGGCCAGGTTATTTCGGCCCCCCCCCCCACCTCCGAAGAATGATGGGAGCGTTGAAACCCCTCCCCCCTCCTCCACCGTACAGTTCAAAAAGCCTCTCCCTGAAGTTTGTTGTAATTTCAGCTATAATCGGACGAATTTCGAGGTCTCCGTGAGGACATTTTTTCTAAAAGGGCTTCTTATGACCATAAGAATGATTCCTGAAAGCGGCAATTTCCAATCAAAAAGTGCAGGGTTTTTTTGTGTACCCACCGTACTAGATTGGGTGTCCCCCTGGAGGCTCGCGGACTGTAGGAGTGCTTGACAACCAATGACGCCTCGTCACTTCGAGAGATACCGAGCCGTCCCGATTGGCTCCTGCCTCATCACGGAGGCGAAACTGCGTCCTTCTACGCCTTCGATCACGTTTCCAAGGGGGTTCATGGATAAAAAAAACTGTGTGTTTTGACGTCCGAGTTAGAGGAGAACGAGCATACAGGGAGGGTCATAAAAACCAATGATGGATGAATGCGTGATGATGTGACGATATTTTAGAATTGTGCTCGGTTAATACTAGGGGGCCGTTCATAAAATACGTAGCGCTATAAGGGAAGGGGAAGGGGTCTAGGACAGGGTGGCAAAATTTCATGAAAAATAAAATCTTGAAATTTTACATGAAATGTTTCATGAAATTTCAGAAATTTATGAAAGACATTGAAAAATACCGGTTCCTTCCCATGTTCCGCAAAATGTAAAAATTGTGACTTTTTTTAATTTTGTGTGTTTGAGTGCATGTTGCATACTCTAGCCCCTGACAAATATGAAATATTTCACAGCCTCGTGAAAGTTCATGAAATATTTCACTGAAATTTCCAATCTTTCATTTCTTTCTTACGTTTCATGCCACCCTGGTTCAGGATAGTGTTGCGCTTTTTCGTTTTGACGTTTTACAGAACTGGGAACCACTTCATAAAAGCGCTAAGAGGGGGTGGGGGTTAAAGATGATACTTTGCCATGAAAAATAAAACAATTTTGTATAGAGAACTGTAAGAATCACAAAAATAGTAAGTAGAATCATATGAGTAAGTGAAAAAAAGTTTAAATAAAAGGAAGAGGAAAAAAGAAAAAATACTGAGCTGAACCTCACATAACACAGAAGAGGGTGTCTCAGAGTCGCAGAAAAACCCGGCCTAACTGTGCCTGCCGGAAGGAGATGTGGGGGTTGAGTGCAGAGCTTAGGATTGAGTTGGCGCAGGATTCGCGGAGAGGGGTGATGCAGTGATGCAGGGATATATTACATGGAGAATGCTTCTATAGAATATGCCATCTTATATAGAGAAATATTTCGCTCCAAATCTACTGAACTGTCAAAAAGTTTGTAAAAAAGTGAAGAAAATCGGACGAAATCGATTGCAATCAGCCTGATTATATTTCATATTGCCTAGTGTCCCCATAGGTTGTATTAATTTACAGAGAAACCAAGCAACAAACACCTTAGATCTTTTCATCAATATCCTTGATTATGAATCATGTACTCCCAAAATTTGAAGGCAGAATGTTTCTTAATTACTCTTAAAGAAAAGAAAACATGAGAGAAAATTAGGCAATAATGTCGGATAGAGTTAGCCGAATTCTGGTTAATGTTAAAAAAAAATCCTATTTGACGAAAATAATCGGTTCTTGAGTGTTTCATATTTAATACTGAGCCACCCTGTATGCGTCGAATCGAAATGTTCTTATTGACATTCCACCCCTGGGCATATCAAGTTCGATTGTATCACCCCGTACCTGGAATTATTTACAGCAACATTCCAATATCAGCTAATGAAAGAGCAGCCCGGGTATTCGTTATTGCTTTTCCCGTTACAATAAGTTAAGCCTGATGAAAACCTAGAAATAAAAAATGTATGAGAGCCTATTCATGTCGCGGCTTCTTCCTCTAGAGAAAGGAAATTATTTATGAGGAAAATATGTAATTGCCTTTTATTTTTAGAATTTAATATATTGAACACTGGTATCCTCGTGTAACATCTCAAGATAACTTTCATATTCAATTTCTGGGAAAAAAAAGGGACTCGATCGAAGCTCTTGCATCCGTGAAGAATTTGCGATTTAAGTATTGATTCCCGTATATTTCGCGAGGAACACGATGGTGCCGTTGGTTTTCTCTGAAATCAACTCCAAAGCTCTAAAAAAGCTCTCGAAATTGAGGCCGTAATGGAGGGGATATCCCACGCTATCCTGAGAGTCCACCTCTACACCCAGACAAACTATCTATGTAATGCAAAGATAGGAAGCAGATACACTAACAGAGTTGCCACCTTGTTTAGGGACTCCAAAAGTGAAAACACGGCATTCTTGCTAATCTATACTCACTCCGTAACTTTGCGTAGAAAGTTTGTCTTGATGTAGAGGTGGACTCTCAGGGTGGCGTGGGATATCCGCGCCAACTTTGAAAGCTCTTTTTTGAGCTTTGGAGCTAATTTTATAACAGACAACAAATACCCCAAGGCCAAAAGAGAATACGCTTTCATGTTGATTTTTACGAATTTCTGTCCCTTTTCCCCTCCGTATATACCAACCATACCGATGAAAATTCATCTTGATAAACAAATTAAGTTTTATGGGAAGTGAGATAACCCTCTGTACATCGCAATTTATCAAGAATCTGTCTTAGAATCCGGGAAGTCACGCAAAGTCGCGTCCACTTGGGTTGCATAAGGCGCGGCGCGGCGACGAATCGGGTCAAAACGCCTACCAACGGAAAGTGCTTGCCACGGGGGTGCGCTTCAAATTGAGCTCATGGATTTATTTATCATCGCACAAAAATGGTTGTGGTATCATTTTAAACGTCAGAAAATGATCTTTCTACAAAACACGAGAGGAGGTGTGTTTCTCCACCCTATTGAAAATTATTCGTCGTTGTAAATTTTGGCAATTTGAACATTTTCTATTCATTTGGAAAATACCCGGAAAAGTCGGAGGAAAAACGCAAGTATATCCGTAACACTCGTTGACCTTCAACATAGCTTCTAAACAAGCCCAAAATAATGAAAATCGGACGAGAATGTGCCGAGATATAGCGCGCGTATGACTTGCGTAGCGCGTTAATTGCCCGTATTCCGCCGTTTTCACCGCGCACCGCGTACCGCGACGCTCACTTAAAGTGCTCTGGAGGGTGCATTTTTTGACGCAAAAAAATTGTTTTGGTATCAAATTAAAAGTCAGATAATTTCCCATCGCCGTTACTTAAGGAAAAAACGTCATTTTCTCGCGTGTTAAATAATTATACGCTCTTGAAAATTGGGTGAAATTTCAAAATTTCAAAATTTTCCTAATGACCGTTTATGTGTGCCTTAGGCGAAAAAATTTATGAGGTAGACTTCTGGAGAAGCATTTTAGCTTCAAAACGAGATCAAGAAAACGAAAATCGGACACGAAGTTTCCGAGATATAGCGCGCTGAAAAAACGCTCGGCGGCCATCTTTATCGGCCGCCATCTTGGTTCCTGCACGGACCTTAGAGTGCTTCCCCTTCTATAAGGGCTTCTTATGACCATAAGAATGATCCCTGAAAGTGGCAATTTCCAATCAAAAAGTGCAGGGTTTTGGCCATTATTCGATCGTACCCACCGTACTATTGCGTCAAACACAGAGCGGTAAGCAGCGGTCGGCTTGAAACGCACAACGCTTACAAGACCGCATGAATATTTCACGGATTGCGTCAAATACAGTCCGGTCAGCGTGAAACGCATAGCGCCTACAAGGCTGCATGGATACTTCACGCATTGCGTCAAACACAAGGCGGTCAACAGCGGTTGGCGTGGAACGCATAGCGCCTACAAGACTGTAGGAATACTTCAAGCATTGCGCTAAACACAATGCGGTCGACGCGGCGCGGCAGCGGAAGTTAAAATTATTATTTATGTTTGTTCTTGCATACTTTTTTCGTTCATTTCTTACGCATGAGAGACCTTGTCCACACAGAAATAGTTTGTTAGTAGTGTTGACAGGGCTTTCGCAAAAAAATGTGTCCAACACGAGACACCGCGTCTTATGCACCTCTCCCCCTCCCCCTCCAGCAGGTTTACTTGATGGTTTTAATTGATGTTTCGAAACGAATGAGAAGGAGGCGGCAAAATACAGGCGGCCTATGGGCGGCAAGTAGGTGAATCCGGCCCTGTCATTAACCGCCATCGGGCGATTTCGACGATTTCGCTGGCCACAAAGCGGCCTTAGTGAGCGCGCAGCGCCCCGGGGGTTGGGCTGTGCGGTGGCCGGGGCATAGCCCCCTAGTTCCCAATATTCTCCTGGTTGAGAAGTATTTTTTGCGGGGAAAATTTGACAAAAGTGAAATGGAGTTACGTTCCTTCGTGAAAGGAACGACGAAATGGACTGCATTTTGCAATTTGGAACTATAAATTCTGGCTCTTCTGAAGAAACACTTATGTGCATAGGGAAACCAATGGCACATACGTTGTTTTTAAACCGGGGTAGAATCTATAAGTCCAAATTGCAAAATGTAGTCCAAATATCAAGCATTTTGAATGTTTTCAGAGTCACGAAACCTTACTTTATCGTACCTTCGATGTATTTATTCAAGGCCTCGGCACTTCCCAGCCACGGAGTGCCGGAGGTGATGAGCACCTGAATGTATCGGTTCTTCCAGGCCTGAGGTTTTTGGTTGAGGAAGTAGGCAAGAACGAGGCCTCCCATGCTGTGAGCCACGAGGGCCACTTTTCGTCCAGTTTGTGTGGCTGTTTGCTCGATCAGCCGCGTCAATCGTGTGTAGTACCCAGTCTCCCCAATTTGTGCTGGTCAAATTACAGCAGAGACATGCGAAATGGAGTGATCACAGGATTGGACGTATTTCTATCGAACGGAACAATAATGTGCATTTCGACGTGAGTCTTTTTATGCACATATCGTTGAGGGTATAAGGGCTCATGTTTTGGTGCACATAGTTCCGTTTGATAGAAATACGTCCAATTGAACCAGTGAGTAATGAGTTTTATGGTTACCAGGGTAACAAGAGAGAGA